TAATGTTAATTCAACAGGAAGTGGTATGGGGGTACAAGAGGCAGGGTGTCTTCCTGTTGCCCAGTTATTTACAAAAAGGCAGATATTCTCTCCGATACTTCGAACATTCCCCACAGTACTAACTTGTGCTCCTTTACAGGTAATAAGCTAATGAATTATTTCCCATCTCAAAGTTGTGTAACAACTGAATTTGTTCAAAAGTCAAAAAAGTTGTAGAAATACAGTCTATATTGCCATGTGCAGTTGCTCATGCCTGTAATCCCTGCATTTTGGGAGGCTGAGGTGGGTGGATCACTTGAGGGCAGGAGTTTGAGACCAGGTTGACCAATATGGTGAAACCCCTTCTCTACTAAAAATACAAAAATTAGTTGGGCATGGTGGCGGGCACCTGTAATTCCAGCTACTAAGAAAACTGAGGCAGGAGAATTGCTTGAACCCAGGAGGCAGAGGTTTCAGTGAGATCGCACCACTGCACTCCAGCCTGGGTGATAGAGGGAGACTCCATCTCAAAAAGTAATTAAACAGGGCCGGGCACGGTGGCTCAAGCCTGTAATCCCAACACTTTGGGAGGCCGAGGCGGGTGGATCATGAGGTCAAGAGATCGAGACCATGCTGGTCAACATGGTGAAACCCCGTCTCTACTAAAAATACAAAAAATTAGCTGGGCATGGTGGTGCGTGCCTGTAATCCCAGCTACTCAGGAGGCTGAGGCAGGAGAATTGCCTGAACCCAGGAGGCGGAGGTTGCGGTGAGCCGAGATCGTGCCATTGCACTCCAGCCTGGGTAACAAGAGTGAAACTCTGTCTCAAAAAAAAAAAAAAGTAAATAAATAAAAGAAATACAGTCTATACTAGAACCACAGACAAAAAGAATAAAGAATAAATGGCCGGGCGCGGTGGCTCAAGCCTGTAATCCCAGCACTTTGGGAGGCCGAGGCGGGTGGATCACGAGGTCGAGAGATCGAGACCATCCTGGTCAACATGGTGAAACCCCGTCTCTACTAAAAATACAAAAAACTAGCTGGGCGTGGTGGCGCATGCCTGTAATCCCAGCTACTTAGGAGGCTGAGGCAGGAGAATTGCCTGAGCCCAGGAGGTGGAGGTTGCGGTGAGCCGAGATCGCACCATTGCACTCCAGCCTGGGTAACAAGAGCAAAACTCCATCTCAAAAAAAAAAAAAGAATAAATGCTTCATATCATAGAACTTAGATCTGTCACAGAGTCAAAGATTTTAGAGCCAAAGTGACCCCAATGAGCTAGGCTCCCTTTAATTAATAAAGGTTTTCTTTCAACACTGAAAAGAAAAATGATCACTTTCTCCTTATTTGCCCCAAGAAATTCACCACCAAAAAAAATAATAATAACCAAACAGATGAGGATGAATATCAGATGTGTCTCAAATCTCATGCCACAAAGCATGGGATAAACTTTTTTTTTTTTGAGATGGAGTTTCGCTCTTGTTGCCCAGGCTGGAGTGTAAAGGCACAATCTCGGCTCACTGCAACGTCCGCCTCCCGGGTTCAAGGGATTCTCCTGCCTCAGCCTCCCAAGTAGCCGGGATTACAGGCATACATCACCACGTCCAGTTAATTTTCTGTATTTAGTATTGATGGGATTTCACTAAATTGGTCAGGCTGGTCTGGAACTCCTGACCTCAGGTGATCCACCCACCTCAGCCTTCCAAAGCGCTGGGATTAAAGGCGTGAGCCATCATGCCTGGCCAGCATGGGGTAAACATTTAACATGCTCCCGCAGCCAGATGTTCTCAATGTGCCTGGCAGTAATGCCAAGTGGGTAGGTTCATAAAAGCAGAAACAGAGACCCTCTGGGTTTAGTCAACCTATCTTTTCAACTGAGTATTCATCAGACACATACAGGAAAATCTCCAGTTCACCACACTATTTTGTGTAAAACTGACTGGAAACATTTTTTTAAAAAAAACTTGTTGGCTGGGCGCGGTGGCTCATGCCTGTAACCCCAGCACTTTGGGAGGCTGAGGCGGGTGGATCACGAGGTGGAGAGATCGAGACCATCCTGGTCAACATGGTGAAACCCTGTCTCTACTAAAAATACAAAAAAAATTAGCTGGGCATGGTGGCTCGTGCCTGTAATCCCAGCTACTCAGGAGGCTGAGGCAGGAGAATTGCCTGAACCCAGGAGGCGGAGGTTGCGGTGAGCCGAGATCGCGCCATTGCACTCCAGCCTGGGTAACAAGAATGAAACTCTGTCTCAAAAAAAAAAAAAAAACTTGTCTCTAGCTGGGTGCAGTGGCTCATGCCCATAATCCCAGCACTTTGGGAGGCGGAAGTGGATGGATCACCTGAGGTTGGAGTTTGAGACCAACCTGGCCAACATGATGAAACCGTCTCTACTAAAAATACAAAAATTAGCTGGGTGTTGTGGTGCGTGCCTATAATCCCAGCTACTGGGGAGGCTGAGGCAGGAGAATCTCTTGAATCAGTGAGGCAGAGGCTTCAGTGAGCTGAGATTCCGCCTCTGCATTCCAGCCTCAGGGACAGAGCCAGACTCCATCTCAAAACAAACAAACAAACTAACAAAGTAACCAACTCCAAAGGCCTTAACTAAATGTCCTGGACCTAGCTCACTGATTCTCTCTTGTGTAGTGTTATTCTTGGTCTTCCTAGGCTGATCCTAATAGGTTAAATACCTTGGATGTTGATTCAAGAGATCTTGAACATGAGTTAACAACACTTTATGTACACCCACCCAACAAATTGGTTTAATTCACTGGCGGTTTACCAGATTCTTTGCATACCTGGCTATGAGATTCTCAAATTGTTGTGTGTACAAATGGACCAAACTAACTCAGCAAAGAAACAGGTTCTTAGGTAAAGTACTCAGGAGTCCTATTCCAGGTTACAGGTTGTAAATCAGGCTAAGCCACAGTAGATGAAATACTTGGGAAAATGGCAGCTACACCTGCCAAGTCAGACTAAAGGGGAAGAGACAGAAGGAAAAGAAACAGCCTCTGCTCTGAGCTTCTTATACAGAAAGGCCAGTACTCCACTTCCTGGCAGGCCCAGGGATGACCATTTCTCTGTGCCCCTCTGCCCCTACCTTGGCCAAGAGCCCACAACAGTGACAATCTCGCCTCTTAACATTTTCCACGCTTCGACTTTTAGAAAAAAAATTCCCCCAGATTCCTTCACTCCATCCTGCAGGGATCACGATCCCATTTTCTGGATAAACAGGGCAACGGAGATGAGCCTAAACCATGAGAACTGTCAGTCTTCGCCGCCCACGTCCACACGGATCTGCCTGAAAGCCCAATACCAATTTTTTTCAACTCCCACATGCTCCTGAGAGGAAACAGATCTGGGCCTACGGCTGGCATGGAAACGAGAGGGAAAGGAGGAGGTGCTGCTGGGGACTGATGGATGAACCCATCATCCATGGGTGAAGGGAGCATCGAGCTTGGCCTTGAGGTCAGGAGGTGACAAAGGCACATTCCTGAGACCTGGCCTTCTATTCTGGGGAAAGCCCGGGCAGGAAAGGGCTTCTCGCCCATCAGAAGGCCCAGAGGGTGCCCATCTGTGTCCACAAAGAGCCCGGCCCAAGAACCCAAAGAGGTCAGGAAGTAGCCCCACTCCCACCAGGGCGTAAGTGGGGTGTCCTTCTGTCAGGGGGCACCCTTCCTCTGACAGTGGGGGTCCCACCCAGCCCAAGGGGCCGTCCCCCGAGATCTGTCACCAGAGGCCCGCACCTGTGACCCGGCGCTCGGGGGCTCCCTCTCCTGCACTGCCGAGGGCGCGCGCAGCCTACCTGGAGTTCGCCCTCCGTGCGGTGCAGTCCCAGGCGCCGCAGCCCCACTGCCAGGTCGTTGACACACAGACCGCCGTCCCGGTTGACGTCGAGCGTCTGAAAGAGGCTCCACAGGCGCAGCCGGTGGTCCGGGCCCCCACAGACGGCGCCGCCGCAGGGGTCCCCCACGGACGCCGGCGACGAGGCGGACGAGGAGGCGGCGGCGGCGGCGTCCGGCGGCGGGGAGGCCACGCAGCGGCACAACACACTGCTCACCATCGGGTGCGAGGCAGGGGCTCTGGGCGCGGGCGGGGGCGGCGGGCCGGCGGGCACGGCGCGGAAGGCACGCCGGGCACTCTGGAGGTGCAAGCGCGGGCTCCGAGACGCCGGCAAGCTGGAGGGAGGGGTGGCTTCAGGAAGCCCCGCCCCTCCCGCGCGCTGCCTCAGGCCAAGCCCCCCAGCGAGCCCAAGGCCAATCACGGGCTCGGACGGAGAGCCTGGAGGGGCGGAGCCCACTAAGGACAGCCCACACCTACCCGGACTACCCGGATCAATGGGGTGGGCGGGGTCATCCCGCTCCGCCTGGGGCCGATTCAAACTGATGGAGGCGGTGATTGGCTAAACCGGGGGCCAGAGAGAGAAAAATCACGCAGCGATAGGCAGAAGTCATATGATTGGCAGGCGGAAGACCCCGTGTCCAGTTTCCATTGATGAACTCCGTTTAGACTATGGGATCTTAAAGATGGGAGGAGCTGTCGTGTACGGAGAGATCGTAGCCTCCGGTGAGAAACAGAATTTGTGAGAGAGCATTTATGAACTGCAGTTGCGAGGCGGAGTTTGTGCCGGTGAGAGGAATTAAAAATTAATTGACTCACAGCTCAGGGCCGAAAGCACTAAGTATCCTCAGGAAGCAGGGTTTTGGTAATCTAACCCCCTAAACCGCCAATAAAATAGCTGAATTTAACGGCTTAATAGTCATAATACTGATAATTGAACGACAGAACGATTTCCCAATGAAAGTGAAGCTTAGGTGGGCGGGACGCTCTGGACGACAGACACAATTTTAGACCAATGATCAGGCTAATTCCAGTAAGTAGGCGTGCTCTTTAGCTGAGCGACAGACCGAAAGAACCAGTGATCGACGTGATGTTGGAGCCGCGCCCCACCGGGAAGGCGGGTTCTCCCGCAGAAGGGCTGGGAGGCGGGAAGAGGGGGAAGTGGGCGGATCTCCGCACACCCCGGCGGAAGAGGCAGATTCAGGAAGCCATTACGCAGCTGGCTGGCAGCGGCAGGGCCGGTCGGGGCTGGGCCCTACGCACTTTGCGTAGCGAGGAGGGTTACCTAAGGCCTAGTGCTTGGCCTCGAGCAAGCCCGGCCTATCCCCTGTAGGGGATGGGTGAGGGGCGAGGCTGAGGAAGAAGAGTAGGGGAATTGGGGCGCTTGAGGGGATTATAATTTCTTTAAACAGAGGGGAGGGGACAGGCCATGGCAGTCCCAGCCAAGAAGAGGAAGATGAACTTCTCGGAGCGGGAGGTGGAGATCATCGTGGAGGAGCTGGAGCTGAAGAAGCACCTGCTGGTGAACCACTTCAACGCCGGAGTACCCCTGGCTGCCAAGAGCGCGGCCTGGCACGGCATCCTGAGAAGGGTCAACGCCGTGGCCACTTGCCGCAGGGAGCTGCCTGAGGTCAAGAAGAAGTGGTCTGACCTCAAGACCGAGGTCCGTCGTAAGGTTGCCCAGGTCCGGGCTGCCGTGGAGGGTGGCGAGGCCCCGGGGCCCACTGAGGAGGACGGAGCTGGAGGGCCTGGGACAGGCGGTGGCAGTGGCGGCGGTGGCCCAGCTGTAGCCCCCGTGCTGCTGACCCCCATGCAACAACGTATCTGCAACCTGCTGGGCGAGGCCACCATCATCAGCCTGCCCAGCACCACAGAGATCCACCCCGTGGCCCTCGGACCCTCGGCCACCGCAGCCGCAGCCACGGTCACCCTGACACAGAGTGAGTGACCTCTCCTGTTCAGGTGGCGTACATAAGTGGGAAGGGCCAGCAAGCTCTGGGGTGGCCTGGGGAAGGTTGGCTGCCAAGGGTCAGAGGTCAGATGGGGGTCTTGGAAGACCCTGAGGCCTTCCAAGAGCAGCACCCCAGACAGAAGTGATCTTGCTCTCTCTGGGACTTCCTCAGCACGTGGGCTGGACTCCTGATGTGCTGGATAGCACGCCATTGAGCATTGCCACCATGTTTCCATGACTTACCTCCAGTTGCCGAACTGGGTGGTCCTTGAAGACAGAGACCATGTCTGTATCCCCACAGGACTTTTCTCAGGGCCAGGCATGTAATAGACAGCTAGGCCGTATTTGCTGAAAAAATAGGTGGGAATAATACTGCCCAAGTGAGACAACAATTCTGGATTCTGTTTTCAGTGCCAGGGAACTTTCATAAGGTGCTGCTCAGGAGCCTCGTGGTTCCTGGTGTTAATCTACTCATTCATTGATTCATTCATCCATCAAACATTAGCACTTATTCTGTACCAAAGCCTGTGCTGGGCACTGGGATTACCAAGTTGTCTAACAGGCCAGTTATGTTCTAGTAGGACAGAGATGACATATATAGGAATAGCTTCACCATCAGTTGGGAAAACCTAAGGCCCCAGAAGAGGAAGGGGGCTTCTTGGTGGCATGGGGACACATAGCTGACATTGGCATTGAAGGGTGGAGGAGCTTGACCACTTCCACATGCGTGGAGGCCCAAACAGCCCAGCTAGGATCCTTTTCAAGGTTCTCAGCTAGAAATAAAACTAGAACTAACTTTGGTTGGATTTTTTTAGTTCAAAGAAGGGTTTGTGCCTGTGACTGTTAACTCTGCTTGTTTGTGATGGCTGTGAGCTGGATCCATCAGTGATTCTCAGTGGGGGTTGAGGGAGCTGGGTGGATGTGTGAGTGCCATCCCCCTGTAATGCGTATTTCTTAAGAATACTTTGGGGTGGGTAAGGGGGACAAACATGGGTCTAAATCAGATGCTACTCTGGAACAGGAAGGATGTTTGAGTATTGCATTGACCCAGATGATGAAAGAGACAGGGAGACATTGACTGGGCACTTTAGCTGCCACAACCCCATTCCCACCTCCTTTTCTGCTTGGCCACAGGGGACTAGGAAGTCAAGTCAAGAAAGCATCAAAGGGCTGGGCATGGTGGCTTACGCCTGTAATCCCAACACTTTCGGAGGCCGAGGTGGGCAGATCACTTGAGGTCAGGAGTTCAAGACCAGCCTGGCCAATATGGTAAAACCTCGTCTCTACTAAAAGTACAAAAATTCCCCGGGCTTGGAGGCGGGGCGCCTGTAGTCCCAGCTACTCAGGAGGCTGAGGCACGAGAATCACTTGAACCTGGGAGGTGGAGGTTGCAGTGAGCTGAGATCGTGCCACTGCATGCCATCCTAGGCAACATAGCAAAAGAGCAAAACTCCATCTCAAAAATAAATAAATAAAAAGCAAGCATGAAAGGAGGTAGGACTAATGTGGCGGCAAAGAGCATGTAGAGTCCCACCCAAGATGCCTGCTGCGCTGGCCCCACAGGGAGCATGTGACCCAGCCTCTGAGGTGCCTTTCTTAGTTAGGAGCAGCCCCGCGTGGAGGTCAGGGCTCAGCTGTTGGGGAGACCTGGGTTTGCCTTTTGGCTCTGCCGAATGAGGTCTGTGACCTTAGCAAGTCTTTCTACATTTCCCAGTCTGTTTCCTCATCTCTGGAAAATGAAAATGACAGCACCTACCTCTTGGTGTCATTTTGAGGATTTGTTGAGCTAATGAGTACAAAGTGCCTGACATGTTGTAGTTGCTCTGAAAGTTTTGCTAGTATTATGATCAACGTCTTTGCTTTTGCCAGATCCAGGGCTGGCCCTTTAATTACCAAGTAGATTAAGATTTTGAACCCCGGCCGGGCGCGGTGGCTCATGCCTGTAATCCCAGCGCTTTGGGAGGCCGAGGCGGGCGGATCTTGAGGTCAAGAGATCGAGACCATCCTGGTCAACATGGTGAAACCCTGTCTCTACTAAAAATACAAAAAATTAGCTGGGCATGGTGGCACGTGCCTGTAATCCCAGCTACTCAGGAGGCTGAAGCAGGAGAATTGCCTGAACCCAGGAGGCGGAGGTTGCGGTGAGCCGAGATCGTGCCATTGCACTCCAGCCTGGGTAACAAGAGCGAAACTCCGTCACAAAAAAAAAAAAAAAAAAAAAAAAAGATTTTGAACCCCTTAGATTCAAGATTTATATGTGAATAGGCAGCCAGGGGAGGCCTGGATTCCCCTTTAATGTCCCTCCAGGACAGGACTTTCTGGCCTCCTCTCTACCCCATACAGCCAGCTTCATTCCTTCCAGAAAGTGACCTTCCTCAGCCTCTTCTTTCTACCCTGCAGTCCCCACAGAGACCACCTATCACACCCTGGAAGAGGGTGTGGTGGAGTACTGCACGACTGAGGCGCCCCCGCCACTGCCACCAGAGGCCCCTGTGGAAATGATGGCCCAGCATGCAGACACGTCAGTCAAGCCACAGGCGCTCAAGAGCCGCATTGCCCTCAACTCCGCCAAGCTGATACAGGAGCAGCGGGTCACCAACCTGCATGTGAAGGAGATCGCGCAGCACCTGGAGCAGCAGAACGACCTGCTGCAGATGATCCGCCGCTCCCAGGAGGTACAGGCCTGTGCCCAGGAGCGCCAGGCCCAGGCCATGGAGGGCACACAAGCCGCCCTGAGCGTCCTCATCCAGGTCCTCCGGCCCATGATTAAAGATTTCCGCCGCTACCTGCAGAGCAACACAGCTAACCCGGCCCCTGCCTCTGACCCTGGGCAGGTGCCCCAGAATGGGCAGTCAGACAGCATCATCCAGTGAGGGCAGGGGTCAGGCCAGCCTTCTGCCGTGATGGGATGAAAACTCCATGGTCTTGTAAATGGGTCCTGTGGTTGGCCTTGGCCTTAGGCTGGCCATGTGCACAGCTCCCTCTTTAATAAACACTTAGGGGTTCCACGGTTTTTGAGAAGAGGAATTTTTGGGGCTCCTGGTACCCAAACTCTTCCACTACTTGAGCTGCCTTGCTGAGATCCAGAAGATTGGTGAGCTGTGGGTCACATATGCACGTGATAGGACATGTGTCATCTTGACCCAGGGCTTGTGACATGACCCAGACTTGGTCTTGGAAAACTGCAAGGAACAACACAACAGGCTGTCACCGGGAGCCATTACCCTGCCTGGGTCTCTACGGAGCTGCCCCACCCCAGGTGCCATCCTTTCGAGTAGGTTAATGTCACTGGTGCTGGCAGTTGAGCAATAATACCTTGCTCCCTTGGGAGGCAGTGTGACTGAGCCTGAGGAGGAAACCCCACCCTTTTCTCCTTCTCACTGTGCCTCAGTTCTCAGGGGACTCCAACAACTGTTGTTCTCTCCCCCAACCTCACCCCAGGCACAGCACAGGCGCTTGTTAGGTGTTCTGGGAAGTCTCCATAACACACAGCGGGCAGCCGGTCTGGCTCAGGAATGCTGTGTGTGGGGATGGTTTGGCCACTCTTTGGTCTCTGGGCAGCTTTTGATTCAGGTCAAGCTTTGGATGCTGTAAATTTTCGAGAAAGCCAACTAGTGTGGAACTGTGTTGCCCCACTGCAGTGGGTCTGAGTGACCTGTGGGCTTTGTGGGGAGGCTTGCTTCTAGCCAGTTGTGTTGATTCTGTATGTGAACCCCTCCTGGGAAGGCCTTCAGGAGGGCCTCTCTGCTTGACTCCACATTTCCAAAATTCAGTACAAAAAAAGCCCTGCTGGACTCTGCCCTCGCCACACCGCTCAGTGCCTCCTGTTCTTGTGAAACCCTCTGAGTGGCTGAGTGAATCCAAAGCTATGATTGACCCTGAATGTAGGAGGAGGAAGAGGCGAAGCTGACCTAAGACGTGGGACCCTGGCCAGGTGCGGTGGCTCACACCTGTAATCCCAGCACTTTGGGAGGCCAAGGTGGGTGGATCGCCAGGTCACAACATGGAGACCATCTTGGCCAACAGGGTGAAACCGTGTCTCTGCTAAAAATACAAAAATTAGCTGGGCATGGTGGCACATGGCTGTAGTCCCAGCTACTCGGGAAGCTGAAACAGGAGGATCACTTGAACCTGGAAGGTGGAGGCAGCAGAGAGCTGAGACTGCGCCACTGCACTCCAGCCTGGAAACAGAGCAAGAGTGCACCTCAAAAAAAAGAAGTGGGACCCTTTGGATTCTATGCTTAGGGAAGAGCAGACAGAGCCTTGGAGTGTGAAGGAGGTGCTGTTCCCTGTTCCGTCTTTACACTTTCTCTTCTGAGATGTCTGTAAGGATTTTACCCAGATACCATTTGTCTGTTTCATTTTCAGACTTACCATCAATTACCAAGGCCCTTGCATCTCCCCAGATTGTTTCCCAAGTTTGCTGATTTGCTGCTGGTGCCTCGGCCACACGTGACCAGTGGTTACAACTCAGGACTCCAGGCCTCAGCTAAAAAGTGAAGATGCTGCCCTCCGGGGCATGAACGTTTAGAACGCTCAGCTCTGCCATTGTGATGACAGGAAGATGGCCCTGAAGATGCACTGAAGACAGTTGGGAGGGGACTACTGTACTGTCAACCTCTCTGTGGAGGCCAAGGGAGGTAGAGCGGGAGATCAGGCCCAGCGAGGGAGCTGGTGGTGAAGGAAAGTTCTCAGCGTGGCTAGAGAACAGCAGCCCAGCAGCTTGGGCACCCTCACTCTGTGCAGTCTGATGGTCCCAGCATTTTGCTGCAGGGACTTCCCAAGGATTTGGTTTGGTTTTTCTCTGTTGTTGGAAATCTGAGCCAATATTGTGTCTGTTCCATTGGGTGTAAAGAGGAAGTCTGGATCACTTCAACTGACTAGTTATTTCCAGGTCATAGTTTTAAATTAAAGACATATCACTTTTTTATACATACATCTCTGTGTCTTAATTGGTTATGTAGAGAAGAGAACAGGGACTGACAGACTCCAGCCCACAAACTGAATGGGGCTCCCCACCTATTTTTATAAATAAAATTTTATTGGAACACAGCCACACCCATTCATTTACGAACCTATGGCTTTTTTTTTTTTTTTTTTTTTTTTTTTTTTTGAGACGGAGTTTCGCTCTTGTTACCCAGGCTGGAGTGCAATGATGCGATCTCGGCTCACCGCAACCTCCGCCTCCTGGTCTCAGGCAATTCTCCTGCCTCAGCCTCCTGAGTAGCTGGGATTACAGGCACGCGCCGCCATGCCCAGCTAATTTTTTTGTATTTTTAGTAGAGACAGGGTTTCACCATGTTGACCAGGATGGTCTCGATCTCTTGACCTTGTGATCCACCCGCCTGGGCCTCCCAAAGTGCTGAGATTACAGGCTTGAGCCACCACACCCGGCCACCTATGGCTTTTTTTATTCCACCAAAGCAAGAGGTGAATAGTTACAGAGACATCTGGCCCCCAAAACCAAAGGTGTTTACTCTCTGGCCCTTTATGATAGAAGTCAGTCTTTCCTGGTTTAAGGCAGTGTTTGGGACTCTTAAGAAATGCCTGAGGCACCGGGCGCGGTGGCTCACTCCTGTAATCCCAGCACTTTGGGAGGCCGAGGCGGGTGGATCATGAAGTCAAGAGATCGAGACCATCCTGGTCAACATGGTGAAACCCCGTCTCTACTAAAAATACAAAACATTAGCTGGGCATGGTGGTGCGTGCCTATAATCCCAGCTACTCAGGAGGCTGAGGCAGGAGAATTGCCTGAACCCAGGAGGCGGAGGTTGCGGTGAGCCGAAATCGCGCCATTGCACTCCAGCCTGGGCAACAAGAGTGAGACTCCCTCTCAAAAAAAACAAAAACAAAGAAATGCCTGAGGCATTTGTTAAATATACCTGATCCCAGACCTCACTCAAAACCTGGAGGGAAGACTGTAAGAATAGGCATTGTAAACAAGCCCAAGCCCTCCGTAATCCTGACTCTTCCTTTTCTTTTTTTTTTTTTTTGAGATGGAGTTTTGCTGTTGTACCCTAGGCTGGAGTGCAATGACATGCACTCGCTGCAATCTCCTCTTCTCAAGTTCAAGCGATTCTTCTGCCTCGGCCTCCAGAGTAGCTGGGATTACAGGCAACCACCACCACACCCAGCTAATTTTTATTTTATTTTTTTTTTTGTATTTTTAGTAGAGATGAGGTTTAGCCATGTTGGCCAGGTTTGTCTCAAACTCCTGACCTCAGGTGATTCGCCCACCTCGACCTCCCCATAGTCCTGGGATTAAAGGCATGAGCCACCATGCCCCGCTGACAAATCAAGTCCTAAGTAATCCTGATACTTTCTGAGGGTTATGAATTATTTTTTTTTAAGACAGGGTCTCCATCAGTTTTGTTGGCTCATACCTGTGATCACCTGAGGTCAGGAGTTTGAGACTAACCTGACCAACATGGTAAAACCCTGTCTTTACTAAAAATACAAAAATTAGCCAGGCATGGTGGCACATGCCTGTAATTCTACCTACTGGGTTGGGGTGGGGGGCTGAGGCAGGATAATTGCTTGAACCCAGGAGGCGAAGGATGCAATGAGCCGAGATCACACCATTGCACTCAGCCTAGGCAACAAGAGTGAAACTGTCTCCAAAAAAAAAAAAGGGCTAGGTCTCACTTTGTCTGTCACCCAGGCTAGAGTGCAGTGGCACGATCATAGCTCACTGTAGCCTTGACCTCCTTGGTTCAATTGATCCTTCCACCTCAGTCTCTTGAGTATCTGGGACTAACAGGCAAGCACCACCACACTCAGCTAATTTTTTTTTTTTTTTTTTTTTTTTTGGTAGAGATGGGATTTCACTATGATGCCCAAGCTGGTCTCCAACTCTTGGGCTCAAGGGATCCTCTTGTCTCTGCCTTCCAAAGTGTTTTTAAAATAAAATTTTAAAAAAAACAACTCAGTCTTGATCTTGTCCGCCAGGCTGGAGTGCAGTGGCACGATCTCGGCTCACATCAACCTCCGCCTCCCGGGTTCAAACAATTCTCCTGCCTCAGCCTCTCGAGTAACTGGGATTACAGGCATCTACTACCACGCCTGGCTAATTTTTGTATTTTTATAGAGATGGGGTTTCACTATGTTGGCCAGGCTGGTCTCGAACTCCTGACCTCAGGTGATCTGCCTGCCTTGGCCTCCGAAAGTGTTGGTAGTACAGGCGTGAGCCACTGTGCCCGGCCAAACCTTTTATATTTTAAACCCTTTCTTTAGGCTTTTGGAAAGGTATGCTTTGTAAACTGTATTTTAGTTGAGAGTACTTTCCTTTTTTGTTTGTCTTGAGACAAGATCTCACTCTGCTGCCTAGGCTGGAGTGCAGTGGCACAATCATGGCTCACTGCAGCCTTGACCTCCAGGGCTCAGGAGATCTTTCCACCTCAGTCTTCCTAGTAGGTGGGACCACAGGAGCACAGTACCATGCCAAGCTAATTTTTAAATTTTTTGTCGAGATGGGGTTTTGCCTTGTAACCTCTGCCTCCTGGGTTCAAGCGATTCTCCTGTCTCAGCCTCCCAAGTAGCTGGGACTGTAGGCGTGCGCCATCACGCCCAGCTTATATGTGTATTTTTAGTAGAGATGGGGTTTCATCTTTCTGGCCAGGCTGGTCTCAATCTGACCTCGTGAGCTGCCTGCCTCGGCCTCCCAAAGTGCTGGGGTTTACAGCAGCTTCAGTTGTCTTCGCTGTGTAACAAACCACTTTGAAACGTAGTGGCTGAAAACTATCATTTATTTGTTCAAGATTTTGCAATTTGAGCAGGTCCCAGAGGGAACAGCTTGTCTCTGTTTCTCAGTGGCAGCTGAACCGGCTCCACTGAGGCTCTACCCGGCAGACGGCTCACTCACATGCCTTGCTTGGAAATCTCCCCGAAGTGCCTTCCTGAGCCTTGCAGAAATTCTAGACAAATTGGTCCAGGTTCTTGGAGGGTGCCAAGGAGTGGCTGCTGGGAGGACCTGGCAGGGACAAGCCCGGCTCTTCTGGTTGGAGATGATGAACTAACTCCAGTATGCAGGTTGGCAAACGGGGATGTGGTTTTCAAAATGGTCTGTCTGGTGGCGGAGGCCTAGAGGCTGTGGCCCCTGCCCCACCTCTTCCCCTGCCCAGCTCTTGGGTTGCCTTCAGGACCCTGTCTGGATGCCATTTCCTCAAGAGGCCTTTTTCCAGCTATAATCAGTCCAGGCTAGCTCTCCCTGCTACCCACACCCATAGCCCCTAGATGTCCTCTCTAACTCTCATCCAATGTAGAATTGCCCCTTCCTTCCCACCTCCCTCTCCTCCCTTCCCTCCCCTTCCTTTCCTTCCCCATCTTTTTAGAGATAGAATCTTGCCCTGTCACCCTTATCAGCCTGTATCAGCTCCTTAATGTGACTTGTTGCCACTTCCCTCCTTATACTCTGCATTCCAGTCACATTGAGAAAGCTTACTTTCTTAAAAATATGGGCTCTTACTTTGGGAGGGCAAGGCAGGCAGATAACAAGGTCAGGAGATAGAGACTATCCTGGTCAACATGGTGAAACCCTATCTCTACTAAAAATACAAAAATTAGCTGGGTGTGGTGGCGTGCGCCTGTAGTCCCAGCTACTCTGGAGGCTGAGGCAGGAGAATTGCTTGAACCTGTGAAGCGGAGGTTACAGTGAGCTGTGCCACTGTACTCTAGCCTGGGCGACAGAGTAAGACTGTCTCAAAAACAAAACAAAACAAACAAAAAAAAAAACCTGGGCTCTTTTTCTTTTCTTTTTTGAAACAGGGTCTTGCTCTGTTGCCGAGGCTGGCATACAGTAGCTTAATCTTGGCTCACTGCAACTTCTGCCTCCCTGGAATCAGTCCTGCCTCAGCCACCCGAGTACCTGGGACTACAGGTGTACGCCATCACACTCATCTAATTTTTTGTATTTCTATTAGAGATAGGGTTTGCCATATTGGCCAGACTGGTCTCCAATCTCTGACTTCAAGCGATCTGCCCACCGCAACCTCTTAAAGTGCTGGATTATAGGTGTGAGCCACTGTGCCTGGCCCAGGCCCTTTTTCTAGCCTCCAAACCTTTGCTTTTGTGATTCCTCTTGCTCTGAACAACTTTCTTCCTCATCACTTTCGTAACTCCTATTCACCCTTCACATTTAGTGTGGGTCTCATCACTTTCTGTAGAGAGCTTCGTTGGGTCACACCCGGCCTGTTTCCTCTCACATGTTTATGCACACACATGTAATTGTATGGTTTGTCTGTGTCCCAATTTATTGTGTGTGTGTGTGTTTTTTTTTTTTGAGATGGAGTTTTGCTCTTGTTATCCAGGCTGGAGTACAATGGCGAGATCTTGGCTCACCGCAACCTCCGCCTCCTGGGTTCAGGCAATTCTCCTGCCTCCGCCTCCTGAGTAGCTGGGATTACAGGCACGCGCCACCATGCCCAGCTAATTTTTTGTATTTTTAGTAGAGACAGGGTTTCACCATGTTGACCAGGATGGTCTCGATCTCTTGACCTCGTGATCCACCCGCCTCGGCCTCCCAAAGTGCTGGGATTACAGGCTTGAGCCACCGCGCCCGGCCTTCGTTGTTTTTTATTTGTATTTTTTTAGTAGAGGCAGGGTTTCACCATATTGACCAAGCTGGTCTTGAACTTCTGACCTGTGATCTACCCACCTCAGCCTCCCATAGTGCTGGGATTACAAGCGTGAGCCACTGCGCCTGGCAAATGTCTGTGTCCTGCTGTAGGAGGGTTTTTCAATTCCAGCACAATTAACATTTTGGGCTGGATACACTTTTTTTTGAGACAGAGTTTTGATTTTGTTGCGTAGGCTAGAAAGCAATGGCGCAATTTCAGCTCACTGCAACCTCCGCCTCCTGGGTTCAAGTGATTCTCCTGCCTCAGCCTCCTGAGCAGCTGGTATTACAGGCATGTGCCACCACACCCAGCTAATTT